CATTTTACTTAGTTGCTGTTAACAGGTAAATGAAAGGGAAGATAACTCACCAAAGATCCTTGAAGAAGCCTGCAAAAGCAAAGTATTACAGAACAGGAGAGAACTGAGAGCTTTAGGCGTTTCGAGGTGCAAGATGTTCCTGTGGGGTTGGGAAACCATTCAGGAAACCTTTTCTGTAGATGTTTGTGACCACAGGACACAAATAAGGGCAATATTTTTATATGGATGGTGGAGGCATTTGCACTGAAGGAAATACAAGTGAGGCTGACTTAGAACAGCTGAAATTCTAGTACAGCTATTACTCTACAGAGAGGCTGGTGTTTGGAGAGAAGAAAGGAAGAGATCTGCTTTCGCTGAGATTTAGGTTATACACAGAAAAAATGAATACCTACCAGATTTGAAACATTTGGTTCATTGATTGAGTAAGTACTTTTCCCCCACAGAATTAATTTGCCCTTTTCTGATTTCTTTATTTTTTATATCTCTTTTACTCACTACTCATCTGTCAGTTTGTCATACTGTGGTGGCTTGTGTTTTGCTGTGATTCTGGAAGCTATGCCATGGGAATTTTAAATAACAGCTGGGTCAGCCACAGTGGACAGGTTTCAGATGAGCTTCCTGGAAAAAAAAACAAACAGATTAGGAAGAAGGAGAGACGGACTACTTCTGAATATTTAGTCACTGAGCAACTTATGAATATCAGTGGAACACTGTCATTACCAGAATATTGAATACTGAAACATGATGAAGAGCACCAGAATATGTTCAGTTGAGTGATGGAAGGAAGATGAACTCAGGTTGGAAAGTGCTGAAAATACAACTGGGGAAGAGCTGCCTCCTCAAAATAGAGTTGACTGTGATGATGTGAATGGAGTAAAGCTTTTGGGGCCTTCATTTGCTCATGGGGCACAAGTCAAAATCAAGAGAAACAGCTTTAAATATACATTAATGATAGAAACATGGAATGTACAAAGTTCGAATCTAGGAAAATTGGAAATTGTCAAAAATGAAGTGGAACACATACACATCGATATCCTAGGCTTTAGTGAGCTGAAATGGACTGGTATTGGCCATTTTAATGTACTGGTATTGGCCATCGTTTACTATGCCAGGAATAGCATATTGAAGAGGGATGGAGTCGCATGGAGATGAAAGAGAAAAGAGGAAGGGCTGGTTGGTCTGAAGTGTGGTGAGACCTGGGGACTTGTGAGCACATGGACAAGGGCGTAGCTACAGAAGGCTAGAGCTGAAAGCAAAGTGTCCAACAAATATGAAGTGAGGAGAGATGCACAAGAATGCCCAAACTTATAGATAGATCTGTTCATCCTAGCTTAGATGGCTTAATCATTAGAACTCGACTAGAGAAAGATAGTGTAATACTTAATGGATGTAGTGTCTCAAAATACCTATTGAGAGGGAACATCAAGTGTCAATCGTATCCCCTCTGTATATAAGATTGATAGTGACAGGCAACTTAGATATTGGCTGTAAAGGCACAAAGGCTTGCAAGTTTTCAAGAGGGAGTTTAATTTCAGAGTGTGCGGGGGAAGGTAGAATCCCCACTTAATAGTTTTCATCTTGTCTAGATGGGTCTCGTGAAAGGCAATGGGGTTAAGATTCTTATCATTGAATATTGAATAATGTTATCACGACTAACTCTGACTGTCACAACTGTAAAGGTAGAAATTTTGTAACAAAAAGGGGAGAGTAGTTCATCTTACAAACCCGGAATGGAGGACTCTAGGACCATTAAGGGAGAAGAGCACAAGCAGAATGTTGGACCCTATTCAGAGAAGGAGCAACACAAGAGATGGAGGCAGAGATGGTGACATGGAAAGAGAGAATAGCTGAAGACTGTAGACTCAAGGAAAGGGAAAGGCTATGTGTTGGCGGCCAGGAGACAATCTTGCAGAATGTGCTCTTTGGTTCTTTAAATGATTTTATTTTCCTGAGTGTTTTTGTGTACAACCCCCCCCCCCAAATAAACAACAATAACAAAAAATAACAGAGGATGTAGAAGTAAATACTGTTGAATGATGATGCACAAAGGAGATTGTAATCATTGCAATCAAACAATGAGTGTAAAACTGTTGTTCTCCCATGTAAACTATCACTCAATTCACAATAAAAACTATATATATAAAAAAAGAACATGTCAAGATCTATCTTGAAGTACAATGCCGTCTGTGATAGGATAATATTCACATGACTACAAGGAAGATCAGTTAATACCATTATTACTCAAATTTGTGCACTAACCACTAAGGTCAGTGATGATGAAATTGAACAATTCTACCAACTTCTTCAGTCTGAAATTGATCAAAGATGCAATCAAGATATAATTACTGATGATTGGGATTAAAAGGTTGGAAACAAATAGGAAGGATTAGCAGTTGGAATACATGGCATTGGTGATAGAAACAATGCTGGAGATAACATGATAGAATTTTGCAAGACCAATGACAACTTCATTGCAAATACCTTTTTAAAACAATATAAAAGACAACTACACACATGGACTTCACCAGGTGGAATACACAGAAATCAAATTGACTGCATCTTTAGACAGATGATAGAAAAGCTCCATATCATCAGCATAAACATGACCGGGGTAAACTGTGTAATAGACTGTCAGTTACTCATATGCAATTTCATGCTAAATCTGAAGAAAACTAACGCAAGTCCACGAGAACCAAAATGTGACATTGAATATATCTCACCTGAATTTAGAGATCATCTGAAGAATAGATTTGATGCATTAGACACTAAAGACCTAAAGACCAAAGAGAAGAATTGTGGGATAATACCAAGAACAACATACATGAAGAAAGCAAACGGTCATTAAGAAGACAAGAAAGGAGGAAAAGACCAAAATGGATATCAGAAGAGACTCTGAAACTTGCTCTCCAGTGTAGAGATGTTAAAGCAAATGGAAGAAGTGAGGAGGTACAAGAGTTGAACAGAAAATTTCAAATGTAAGTTTGAGAAGACAGAGTCAAATATTAAAACAAAATGTACAAAGACCTGAAGTTAGAAAAACAAAAGGGAAGAATACTCTCAGCATTTCTCAAGCTGAAAAAACTGAAGAAGAAATTCAAGCCTCAACTTGCAATATTTGAAAATTCTATGGGCAAAATATTGAATGATGCAGAAAGCATCAAAAGAAGATGGAAGAAATACACAGAGTCACTGTACCAAAAAGAAGTGGTTGATGTCCAACCATTTCACCAGGTAGCATATGATCACTAGTCAATGATACTGATGGAAGAATTCCAAGGTGCATTGAAGGCATTGGCATAGAACAAAGCACCTGGAATTGATGGAATACAAATTTAAATCTTTCAACAAATGATGCAGCACTGTAGTCATTTACTTATTTATCCCAAGAAATTTGGAAGACAACTAACTACCTGACCAACTAACTGGAAGCAATCCGTGTTTGTGCCCATTTCAAACAGGTGACCCTACGGAATGCAGAGATCATCAGACAATTATCATTAATATTGCAAGCAAGTAAAATTTCGATAAAGATAATATAAAAATGGCTGCAACCATACATTGAGAGAGAACTTTCAGATTTTCAAGCCAGATTCAGAAGAGGAAATGGAAAGAGGAGTATCATTGCTGACGTCAGATAGATCTTGGCAGGAAGCAGAGAATACCAGAAAGATGTTTACCTGCGTTATATTGGCTATGCAAAAGCTTTTGATTGAGAGGGTCATGACAAGCTATGGATAGCATTGCAGAGAATGAGTATTATGGAACTCTTAATTAGGCTCATGAGGCACGTGTACATAGACAGTTGTTTGAACAGAACAAGGGAACATCAAATGGTTCAAAATTAGGAAAAGTTTGCATTCTTTCACCATGCTTATTCAATCTGTGTGCTGATTAAATAACCCAAGAAGCTGGGTTATATGAAGAAAAACATGGCATGAGAATTGCAGGAAGACTCATTAACAACCTGTGATACGCAGATCATATAACTTTGCTTGTGGAATATGAAGACTTAAAATACTTATTGATGAAAACAAACAAACAAACAAAAGTCCTCACAAGTGGACCAATAAACAGCATCCATTCAAATGGAGAAAAGATTGAAGTTGTCAAAAGACTTCATTTTGCTCAGATTAACCATCAACACTCATGAATTTAACAGTCAAGAAATCAAATGTCACATTGCGTTGCTGCACAAGACCTCTTTAATGTGTTGAGCAAAAATGTCAGTTTGAGGGACTACAGTGTGTCTGATCCAAGCCATGGTATTTTCAGTAACCTCATATGCATATGAAAGTTGGGCAGTGAATAAGGAAGTTCATAGAAAAATTGATGCATTTGAGTTTTTGTGTTGGAGGAGAATATTAAAAGGACTGCTGAAAGAACAAACCAATCTGTGTTAGAACAAGTACAGCCAGAATGCTTCTTGGAAGCCAGGATGGCCAGGCTCCATCTCTCATACTTTAGACACATTATCTGGAGGGACTAGTCACTGGAGAAGGACATCATGTTTGGTAAAGTGGAGGGCTGGAGAAAAA